TACCCCCAAATCTGGATTTAACCCCCGGCCTTTGATCTACGCCCTGCTGGCCCATTTCTGTCGACGTCTTAGGCCCCAACCCTCCAAAGTAGTTAGCAGAGGGGTGGGCAGGACAGTGTCCACGGGCCAGATGGGACCGCCAAGCCGGTGGATCCAGCCCGTCGCCGCCCCGCCCAATTGAGATCAGCGCACGAGGGAGCACACGAAGTCTCCTCCCCCCGCCAGAGGTGCGAAGCGCCAGAGGGAACCGCTGGCTGTTCAAAACACCCGGGGGTTCTCTCTAGACGCTGCACGCCCCTGGCAGGGCTGGGGGGCAAGGACTTCATGTGCTCCCCCACCTCCAGACCAATCAGGGGTTGTGGGTGGGTGAGCATGGGAAGTATCCTGGCCCCGCCCCTTCTGCCTGAGGCCCCACCCCTTCTGCCTGAGGCTCCCCCCCCTTCTAGGGTGGCCCACAACCACTTCCAAAATTTGTGGAGTGGCCCCTCCCTTCAAAAATTATTGCCCACCCCTGAGTTAGCACCTAGCTCCCATTGATATCAGGTCAGTTAGGAGCATAATTGCCTTTGAGCACCCTCCTGGCCCTTGGTCATGACTGATGTGAGGGGGCTTTGGGTGCAGATTCTCAAAAGAGCTCAGCATGCGATTCACAGAGTTCGTTTGGGAATCAACGAAACGCCTCTGAGCATTCTCCAGAGCCACCGGGGGTCCGTGCGACACGGAGCTCTTCTAACTGGCTCTGAGCACCGAGCATGCAGATGAAATCAACCCAGCATGTGGCTGGCTTGGGAGGCATTTCGGAATTGCGTTTCCAGGGGATCCCCCGATGAGGTCCCCTGAGATCCGGCTGCACTGAGAATTTTTTTTCCATCGGAAAATTGGCCGCAGGAAAGGCTGGCTTTGACGGCTCCCCAATGCAAAAGAGTTTTGGGGGGAAAAAACCAAGTGTTGAAATTCTCAAAATGGGACGGTGTGACATTTTTTCCCCCAAATGAAAAGCTTCATTTTCATTTGAAACGACTTTGCGTTTTGAAACGTTGGTGCATTAGGGGGCACCCAATGAAATGAATAGGCAGCAGGTGTAAAACAAACCAAAGGCAGTTTTTCTTCATGCGGCGCACAGTCAACCTGTGGAACTCCTCGCCAGAGGAGGTTGTGAAGGCCAGGACTTGAACAGGGTTCAAAAAAATGCTCGATAAATTCATTGGAGGATGGACTTGAACAGGGTTCAAAAAAGTGCTCGATAAATTCATTGGAGGACGGGTCCATTAACCAGGATGGGTAGGAATGGTGTCGCTAGCCATTCTTAATTTATTCTGTGATAAAAATAGCTGAAATAGAAATCATAGAGGTGTCCGGGGCTGTCCCATGTGCTCTGTGGGGCAGGCACGCTCCGTTTCTTCTCTTTGTGTACACCTAGCACAAGAAGGCTCTGGTCCAAGAGGTGTTCCCATAATTATCAACTAATAGGCAGGCACTTTGAACCTCTCCCCTGCAGGAGTCTGTCACTTGACGGCAGGTTTTGAATTTGACACGGTTCAAGGGTGACTAGCCGGGTGTCATTATTCAGGGGAAGTAAACACACCAGGGCTAGTGTAAACACCTACCCTCTTGAGCCTGGATCATAATCCGCAATGCTTCTAGCAGAGCCCTGTAGGGGGAACTTCTGTGTGATTGATTAGCTCGTAAAACCCTCATTAAGGGGCGCAAAGTCAGTTCCAGAGATTCCACTGCAGGCTCTGCGGGTTTGGGAAATTAGTTCATGCAGGGAGCAGGCCTGGGATGTATGGAACAGAGATCAGCTCCCATCCTGCCCAGCTTCCCCTGCACACTCCAAAGCACCACAAGGGAAATTGAAAGACAAGTGTCTAGTGCTCAAAATCTGATGTCATTGTTTGCACAGTCCTTGACGCATTCAGGTCAGAGCCAAAGCTTATGAATGAAGGAACCGGATTAAGAAAAACCCTAATTGACTTCTCACTATTCACACTGGTCCTTTGTGGATTATTGCTCCCTTTCGACACTGACTCAAACCTGATCAGTTTCATGTTTGATAATAGTCTATTTCACTTTCCGGCTCTCCGGTGCTGGCTCAGTGCTGGAGGGTTAGGGAGAAACCACCGTTGGAGGGGAAGCCAAACCAAAAACTAGCTTCCCTGGACCAAGAATGATGTTTCTAGGTTCCGCATTTCTCAGACCCTGCCCTGTGGGCCCAAATCAATCTGACGTTATCCCACGCACGGCAAGCCCATGTTGCTGGTTCAAAGAGCTGGATGATCCTTTTTCAGCAAATACTTTCTTTGCCCCAAAATGCATCCCAAACTATTCCCGAATGCGGGTCACCTTTGATGATCAGTTCTGGCTGAATAAAAAGGGACGGGAGGGGAAGTGCATTTTGAAAAACCCGAAACATGCTGACTTTTTGATTTTGCAACAATATTTCACTGGTTTCAAACTGGAGCGGGGTTTAGCGGCCCTGCCCCACAAAAGTGAACAAACCCATCCACCGCCAAGCCATTTTGTGGTGGGCCACGTGAAATGTTTTGTGCGACCGGAAGTTTTTTCCGGTTTTCATTTTGCTGAGAAAAAGCTGGAATGATTTCCATTTCCGGTTCTTGGTGGCCGGGGTGGGGGAGATTTCGATGTTTTCGGTGTGCTCCCAGGACCAAAAATGCTGCTTACCCACGGGCGCAGGGCACTGATGTGATGCTCATACTAGCAGGGACGGGGGATGGAGGGGGAAGGGGATGAGGATTTTTGTATTTCAAGAGCTGATTTTGGTTGAGTCGCGGACCCTGACTTCCCTAGTAGCTGGAACCCGATTGTAACCGCAGCCTAGGAGAGGCCTTTGATAAACCAGGCTGGCTTCATGTCTCCCTGCTCTGTTATTTATTCCCCCCACTGATCTCAGTACTCCACTGGCAAGGACAGGGTTACACGGAGGAGGAGGAGGAGGTAGCCAGGTCGCTGGAACAGGAGGTTACAAGCAATACTACCTGCCAGGAGAGCAACAGGAGACTTTCTCCCTAGGAAAACAAACCTGGTGCAGCTGGGAGCTCCGATGTGTAGCAGGGAAATTTGAGACCAATGAGTCTTACTGGTGGACTGACGAGCTGCAGGATGGACTGGCCTTTACACCCCCGGCCTGCGGGCAGTACTCAGGGTTTGCAGCCAAATGCAGATCTGGGCAAAGTTTGCTGTCTCCATACAGCTGATGCACCCCACAAGCCAGCAGCCCCCGGGAGAGAACTAAAAAGATTGTGCCTGATTCCTGGCTTGCTCCAGGGCGCAGGGCCATGGCTCTGTGGTGAAAAGCGCTGCCTTTTGAGGCGGCCCCCTCGGCTGGGTTTTTTTTTTCCCGTGC